CCGCTTGGCGGCCCTTCGGGCCTCAGGAGCTCCGGTATAATAAATTCGATTCGCACAATTTTTCGCCGGTTGATTTAACAAATAAAGAAGTCTAAGCCGTGTATTCTCTTGAGGATTTTTCAGAGCAATGGCAGGGAATAAGAACCAGGGCGCTTATATGTAGTTATATGCTCTGAGCTAACGGAAAAGTCGAATTTTTTAGGGTCGAAAACGTAAAACAAGACTTCAATTTCGCGGTGTGTATCAATAATGAGATCTCCTCATGTTAGTTGTAAGCTTACGCGTATGTTTTTGCGTTTGTTCTGACTTAAGAATATAGTAAGAAAACCCTCTACTCTGGTATCGAGTTAATTTGTGAGTTTCTCAGACAATGGTTCATCATAACCAAAACCTGTTTTTGATGGTTTCTTATTGTTCCTGTTTGTTTGGCGAAATGTACTACCGTGAACAATTTTTGGAACGAAAAAGATCTCAAAACAACACTTCGTTGTGTCATCGTTGCAGCTTATCCCTAACATCGGATACAATTTTGTTCACGGTTGTTAATTAATTGTTTCTTGCTAATTAACTTGATAATTATGTAGATAAATATTACGTACTGATATAAACAAAAACAGGAAATGGATAGTAAAACATCGCTAGGAACCTCAGCAGAACAAACTTGAAATAAATAAATGATTAATGAATGAATAAGAAAGGATTCGTTCAGAGAAATAGACAATTAAAATTAACGTGGAATTGAAGTAGAAATTACTGATTGAAAAATACTTTTTATAAACTGATTATAAAAAATGTGTTGCAAAAGTGCTGTTCAACAAAATTGTTCAATTCCCTGAAAAAGAACTTGAAGTTTAGTTATGAAACATAAAGATATTTGTTGAATTTCAACAATTATAACAAGTCAGTATACTTANGTTCAACAAAATTGTTCAATTCCCTGAAAAAGAACTTGAAGTTTAGTTATGAAACATAAAGATATTTGTTGAATTTCAACAATTATAACAAGTCAGTATACTTCATAAATGGGAGCCGGAGATTGAGAGCAGCTCTCAGTTTAAACTGTAGGTTTGTAGATAATGCAGTTTGCAAGCCGATCTGAGAAGCTGAAAACAGGAAAAAAACACTTTTACATGTGCTTTTTAGGAATATACAAAGTATACCTTGTTGTTCATTTTGGTGACCACCTCGGGCATTTGGAGGCTGTGCTAATGACAGAATTAGAAAATAAATTTTCTTAGATTTTTGTTGCTGAATTTTTAGTCAAATCAGCCAGTAACAAGTTACGACTAAGTACTTTCTCTGGCACTTCTCAAACTCATTAATAATGGACACATAAAGAAAAAATTCATGGGGAATTAGCTTGCTCTCTATTTACCACACAAACAAGTCTCACCAGTAACTCTCAATGTAGATTGAACTACTTTATTATCGCTCCAACTAACCATTTAACCCTAATCGTCACTAACATTCACAATTCTAACTCAGAAACTCAGCTCGCGTTCTTTTATGATGACCAGATCTGGAACCATCAATCAACTGTCAAACCATCGCGAGCTAGAAAACCATGTCCACACAAAGACTTGCGCAGTTCACTTTATGCAGAATCACGCATGCGCACAAGTCTCATTTACCTTATTTCTCTTGATCGAAGAAACAGAGTCGAAACCATTTACTTTCCAAATTTTCGCCATGATTCCTAAATTAACAGGCCAAAATAAAACGACAAGAGCAGTATAAAATATTACGTACAAAGACCATAAATTACAACAGCATATGTACAGAAAAACTTAGACTAAAGGTTGGTACAAGCATGTATTGTTCAAATAAATAAATTGAGACTCTAGATTTCTGGAGTCGGCTTTTTCCCTTAAATTATGTTATAGAATTATCAGCTTACCTCATCTATCTTCATGTACTGTAATTTGTTCTCCAGGGAAGGCCCCTCCTTAGCACCTGGCGTGGAATCTTCGTCGTCACTGTAAGTTTTCCATCTCGCCTGGCTGATATTCTTCTCTTCAACTGTAAGTTGTTCCACAGCAGCTTCGGCGCCAAAACCAGTTTTACATTTCTCCTCTTGATTGTTGACTTGAGGTAATTTACTCAGTACTTCATCAGGTAATCGTACTTCAACTACTTGGGTCTTGAAGTCTTCTGTCAAAAAAACATTTTTTAAAAATTTATTTAATTTCACTTGATTTTTCACGTTTAGAACAAGCAAGGTCATAAGATTCATCAGGTTGCTAAACGACAGCCACTTAGATAGCGAAAAAGTTCAACCAAAGGACTACTACTACTAATTCCTAGCTCTCCTCTGGGAGAATAGGGCCATAACCAACCAAAGGACTAAATATTTATAAATATGTCATTTGCCTGCGGGAAGCTTCCACTGGGAAAAACTTTGCAGAGACCTTAAGGATTCAAATGTTTCAAAATCATTTCTTACAATAACTGTCAAATTTCTCTCGTACTCATTGGCTATTTTTCTTATCTTCAATTTACAAAAATAGCGCCAACATTTTATGCGTAGTACTCATCCTCTTATTGATGATAAACTGTGTCATAAGATCGACCGATAAACCCGATGAATCGACCGAATCGACCAATCATCGATGCTCTAGTTTTTGATCGATTTAAGGCCGCAGCCGTAAAGTGCCAAAGATCGTTTTCCTTTCAAATAAAGTAAAGAAACCTCTGGCACATTACGGATGCCATATAGGGTAATATAGTACTAGGAATGATAAAGAATAAATTCTTTAGATGTTATGTTTTCAATGTCTTTGCTTACGAAATGAAGGTTGGCTACATGTTCCCTATTACTTTCAAACTTTCTTTAAGTACACTTAGTACGAGACTTTATCACGTAATTGACTGACTGACTGACCGACTAACGTCACTGCCTGCCTGCCTGCCTGCCTGCCTGCCTGCCTGACTGCCTGACCGGACTGCCTACCTGACTGACTGACTGACTGACTGACGGACTGACCGACCGATCGACTGACTGACTGACTGACTGACAATCGGTCTAAAAAGTGTTGGTCACCAACCGACAGAACTCTCAAGCAAACGACGAAGCAAATAACTGACGAACTTTGAGCTTAATTCTCTAATATGTCCGCTGGAATGAATGACGGAGGGATAAATTGACAGGAATGACTGATTCAACACATGTACTTACGTTGACCATTTTCATCCGACACAATAAAAGAACATAATCCTTTAGACAGCAAGTTTGCAATCTTTTGGGAATGGTCCTGTAAAACAAACACAATGTTGAGTATCCTAGATATGATAAAG